TAATTTTTAATTACATTTAGCAATTATGTATGTAATTATAAGTAAAGAGAATATTGGATTTCACTGAATAAAGTATACGAGTAATAATATTATTCTTTAAATATATAAATTATTAATCGACATTAATTTTTATCATGACTGTGTAAACTGTAAAGTATACATTTTCAATATTCAAAAATATCATACTATTTAACATACCATTATTTATACCAATTTTTTTTCAGTTAGAACCAATAACAGAGGTGGGTCTGTTTACACAATACTACTCCTCAATTGATACCAATTTAAAATGAATTCGATATTAATAATCAGAAGTTACGTTTCGTTACTTCTGTGTAATTTTGTAAATACGATTTTAGAATAATAATAATAATATCAAAATGTAATACTACCTCAGTCGAGTAAATAATTTATATTATGAACAAGTGCAAACAAAACTTAATATTAGAATTTATCCCCCTATAATCGTACGGAGGGCGAGCGATTGTATTTGTGTAATGAAACTCTTGCCCGCACTTACACGTGTAATTTACGTAGAAATGGGACAACTTGCCGCGCATTACATGGCGGCGCTGTGAATAATAGTTTTGAGTTAAGATTATGGAAAAATATGCACTCAACCACAGAGCACAGTAAAAAGGTAACCGTGAAAACCGTACCACCGTATAATATAAACACGAGCGACCTTTTATCGGACCCCGAAATCCAAAATGCAATCGCTAAACTCTGAGTCGCCAAAGACGTTTTGAACCGAACGCATAAGCATACGATTAAACGTCAATAAATTTGTTCGATAAACGTATGTCTGTATAATTCGATTTACAACAATGTTTCCAAACTGTATGTTTTAGAAAGTTCGGTAACATTTTACGAACGGCAGTTGTCCAATTTCACGGTTAACAAAATCGTGAAAACTATTCCGACGTAACGTCGTATAACGTCATTCGTAAAGCACACGACTATTGTATAATACAATAAAATAGGTGCCAATGCCATCGGTTTTATACACCGAAACGATTTGTTATAATTCAATGCCTCCCAGCGAAAGTTGCAATTTATATTTTGTTGTTTATTAATAAGGTCGACGTTCTTAACGAGGTGAAATATAATATTAGGTACTGGAGTCGAAATAAAAAAATAAAATATACACATGACCAAGCAATTACTCGCGATTATCAGATTCGTGTGTGCCTGCATACTGTTATGATAATCGCTCATACCTACTGCAGACTGTGGTTTTTATTTCTTTTGTTATACATATAAAATATATAGTCCACAGCCAGGGGTCTATTATAGATGTTGTGCGATGATCCCTGCTATCCCGCTTGTATAAAATGCTTTGAATTGTCCGGAGGGCAAAAATATTTGGTTGAAATATCGACGGGACATATTTTTTTTATTTTTTTACTATAATAATAATATTATTTGTAATTTTTTAATTAACTCCACATACCTATCATGGAAATACCTTGATAAATATATATTTTATGGATACATGAACTAAAGTTGGTTTTGTTAGTTTTGTAGTCCCCTATTGCAGCAAAATATGTTTATCAAAATTATATAGGTTTACTATTCGTATGCGGTGGTATTATTGTGTAGATTTTTTATGGAATATTAATTACCTAATTAAATTTGTACATACATAATCTATTATATGTTGTGAATAAAAAATGTTGGGAGACATAGGTACATGATTAATATAGACATCTGTAAGAAAAAAATCCTCTGATTATAATATAGATTTGAAAATCACGAATTTGTATACAAACAATTTTTATCATTTGTCTTAGAAATCGGTATTTTATATGCGTAGTGCGTACCTACATAAAAAGGGGGAAAGTACGTAACTGCTCTGCTTTACAGAAGGTGTCGAGTGTACTTCGTCATTGAGTAAGTCACTGTAATATGTATGTTAAATTTGAATTCAATGATAGCTCATTGCATACGATAAACAACTCCGAGTGGAGACTGTCTGTCAGCCTTTATATAATATATATATCTATATAATATACAATATACATTATGCATATTACTTCGTATATTAAGATAAGTATATTTTTAATGATCTACGTATGTATTTATATAGCTTTTAATGCTGTAGTCATTTTACGGTATAAATATAGGCTTATTAAAAAAGGCTTATATTTTGAAAATGTCACTGAGTATTACAGTAAAATATAATAATATACGCAAAAGTCCTCTAGAATAAAATTTTTGGATTACAAAAAAATACCCAACTAAACACACAACGCTTCGTTTAAATATATTATTTCGTCCGAACAATTGAACTTCAAACGTCTATAAAAAGTAATAATTATGCTTATAGTTTTTTTTTTTCTAGTTTCAGTAGATAGATAATATTAACTGAAGAACCTCATAATTAATTTTAAAGTTTTTTCACCAAACGAAAAATGTACAAATTTATTTTATCGACATAAATAGAAAAAAAAATTAAAATAAGCGACCATTTCAAATATTTATACAGCTCAAGAATAATAAAAACATTTTGAAAATTAAACAACAATATGAAAAAATATGCAGATACCTATGTATTTATATGCTGCAAATAAATGCATAAATTGTTCTATTCATTCTCTGGAATTCATTGGAATTGTCTATTTCAATCAAGCTACGTAGGTTCTAAAGAAGGTACCTACTTTCTTGCAAAAAAAAAAAAAAAAATGCATTCAAATTCTGATTCTAGTTATAAACAATATTTTTTACCTATATTACGGATTATGGGCTTTGTATAATATTCATTATTTGTTGTCTGAACCAATACTTTAACTTTAAGGCGTTCTATATGATTTATTATTATTTGTTCTTTGCTTACTTATAAACTCACGAAAAGATAAACAAGGGTGAGAAAGACGAATACCCAATACCCATTCATTTTATCCAAACAGTGAAGTTATGTTTGCTTCTGTCTATTTATTTTATTTTTTATTTCATGAAATCGTACAGTAAAAAATAAAAATATAGGACTGTACACGATAAAATAATTAACTCTCGAAATCAAAATTAAACTTCAATATATAATAAATTATGGTTTATTTGATTGACTAGGTCAATATTTACTTACACAATTTTTATAATAATACAGAGTAATGTACATGAACTCTTATTTACTAGTTGAAAAATATTTTGGAATTGAGTCAACTGACTTGTCAAGTAAATTAAATTACTTTATAATATGATTATATAATTTAGTGTTTCCATATAATATGCATTTAAACGTATTTGTAGATTATATATACTTGCGTTTGTCTTAGACTATATTTACTACGCTGAAAGTCATTGAATTAAACTTGTGTATGAAACACAATTCTTAAAAATGTGAGCAACGTTTCAACCACGACTGTTTGTAGTTTGTACACATTAAAATACATTGTATGCGCCACATCTGTTATGTTGATATTTTGAAACTATTAACCATGCATAAATTGTATCTGAACTCCAATATACAGTAGGTACTTATATAAAATGTATGTAAATACCAACTCAACATGTTTACATGCAAGTTCTATTTGAGATTAAAACAGGCACACAATTTTCATACTTTCATAGTCGAGTAAGTAGATTTTCTGATTTTATAATTTTTTTTTTTTTTTATCACGCGTTAGAAATTAAATAGTTTTTTGTATTTAACAAAAATAACTATCTATATGATTTGTGACTTTGTTTTCATTTTTCTAATGATTTAAGAAAAAAAAATCAAATTCATAAATATTCTTATTGCAACTAAAATATGTGATGACATATTAAGGTACTGTTATTAATTTTTACAGCTATGATAATATATTCATGTTATCAATTAATCCGGAATAATAATAATAACATGTAAATCTGAATCAATTAATTAACATGACTTAGAACTTTGGACATAATAATATAAAGTGAACAAAAACAAAAGTTACTAGCTTTGGTAGCCATCGTCTTAATTATAATGCATAATTAAAAAGTTTCAGTTGAAGATCTGAAAAAATGGGAATAATAAATGGAGTTAGTTTTTGAATTTTTAATTGGAAATACATTAATGATTTTTAAATCTGAATAATTACGTAGATAAATAGTGAAAGACTCAGCCGGAAGTAAAAGTATTTTTCTTTTGCCTATTGGCTAAAGGAATGAAAAATATGGATTGATCCATCTCTTTTAAATATGAAATATTTGAAAGAACTCAATAGAAATAATGTATACTCTTAACAGTCATAACCATAATGTATTTAAGATGTCAATGCAATACATTTTCTATAAACAGTTATATTGTTTTTCTTTAGAATTAAAATTTTATTTGCAGTATAACTCATAAAATCGTATGAAACACGTCTAGTGAAATAATTTATAGCAATGACAGTTACTACACCGGTCATAAAACAAACATGAAATAATAGTCTTAGTACATTTTAAAGTAACATACATTTATATCAGATATAAAATTATAGTAGAAAAACTAACAAGTATGAAAATAATATGACGCATTGAATGTGAAGTGCCTTAGAAGATTTATTATATAAACATATAATTTCCAACTAAATATATGAATATAATATATATGTTACGGTAAATGATGTTACATCGGAAATTAACGTTATTCGCCGGTTATTTACGTTATTTACCTACGAATGTGGGAATTATCGTTATTTTCTAGCGAATAACGTTAATAACCGTATGATTTGGGAAATGTTGATTTTATTTTAAAATAATGTCCAACGAGCAATGATAAAGTGATCGCTAAACTAATTGTGGTACTAATTGGGTAAATCAATAACACTTTATCGGCCACAGATAAGGTGGACACTGGGCCTATACAGTATACAATTACTATACATATTATAACATCGGTATAGCCGTGGAGATTACATTTGAAAATATCATACGTAACGAAAATTTATATAGATTATTACTTTAGTATGTGTACAACTGTCGTCGTATTTACCACTTATTTAAAATGGCTATCGATATTCAAACTGTTCGCACAACTTTCAACGAAAAAAATGAAAAATATTCTTACGAGCAAGCGAGATGATAATAACTCATTTTTGTCTACTAAAGACTACAATGATGTTATTGAACAAGTTAAAAAATCAAAAATGTGTTTAAAAACTGTCGGTGAAGCTAAAACAATGAAGGACTATCGTGTAGTACGTAAGTACGATATTTTAAAAATAAATGGAAAAGAACGTCTTATTAGACCAGTAGACGAAAAAAATGTTGTATTGTATTACGTTAAAATTGACGAACTGTTTGATATTCTTCACGAAACACATTCTGCCATCGGCCACGGAGGACGAAATCGTATGATGGCAGAACTGAAAAATAAATATTGCAATATAACGAACGAAACAGTTATGGTCTATTTAAAATTATGTGTTCAATGTCAGAAAAAAGCAGTGCACCCAAGAAGAGGATTAGTATCCAAACCAATTTTAGAGTCAACTTTCAACTCACGGGCACAAGTTGACCTTATAGACATGCAATCTCAACATTATAATGACTATCGTTTCATAATGAATTACCAGGATCATTAGACATGTACAATGTGATAAAATTAGCAGGTGATAGACAGTTGACACTGAGGGAAGCAGCTAGTAATAAGTTCGGTTGCCGGCCCTCAAGGGTACCAGCGTTGCCATTGCAAGACTGGTTGTAATAATAAACGTTGTGCCTGCCGTGGGGCTGAAAAATTATGTAATAGTAAATGTCATGGGAGTACAAATTGTAAAAACAAATAAAAAATAATAAAGCATTTTTTCTATTTTTAAAAATACCTATTTTGTAGTAGGTATTTGAGATTCACGTGCATATCTGGTCTATAACAACAATTACCTGTGTATTTGGTCATTAATGTGATTATCCGGTTTATAACGATAATTACCTGTGTATTTGGTAAATAACGTTAATAACCGGTGAATTACGTTAATTTCCATTTAACATCATTTACCGTAACATATATATTATATACATATTATACTATATATATGTATAGTTATTAACAAATTGCATTTGAGTTTAGTATACCATAAGTACCTTACTAATTAATGATGAATAATTCAAATTAAATATATTTTATCGGTTTTGTGGGTCTCTTGTTTTATTTTGATGGATGTACAAATTACGATAACAGCAGAAAATTAATGAATTGCCAGAAGCGCTGATGAACTTAGTTAAAGCTTTGGTTACGATTATTTTAGGGTTACAGGAAAATAATAAAATCAGATTATCATCTGTTATTATACCCCTGAGGACATTGAAACAATTGGTACCCGGAAAGTAAAAGGAATTAAATGAAAACATAAAAACTTATGTTACATACACAAAAAAGAAGCAGTAGTAAATTCAAATTATTTTAATTTATGATTTTTAAAAAGTAATTATTTTAAAATAACAGAACAATAATTTATAACTATAATAGTTTATATTTTTTTTTTTTTTTTTTAAAAGAAATAAATTAATTGCAAATATTTAATTTAAAAAGGGGACATATTATTTTCACTGATTAAAACTACATGAAAATAATAGTTATGTAACATTAATATTACAATATGATATATAATTAATATGGTGTTTCTAATATTTGATTCCACTCTTATAATTATTATAAAACAAATAATTTTGGATTTGGATTTAAACAACAGAGATTTAAATATTGTAAGTTATCAATTTCATATAGGTTTTTTTTTTAGTACGTTGCATTACTTCTTTTAAATTCAACAATAAAATGTAGTTGCTATGTTCATAATAATGTTTCATGAACAGTTTGAGGCGGAGCCTTACAAAAAAAGGAAAAAATAACAAAGAAACTATGGAATATTGATCTGCGTAAATATATACTTCATATTGAGTTAATATAGTTTCTCGCACAGAATTGGTACTATGTAAAATATAGCATATAAATATATTGAACTATTATATAATCTATACAATTATTATAGTTAGCTTATATTAACAATTTAAATGTTTTTATGGCACCAAAAAAAAAAAAAATATTCACAATTTGTTATAGTTTTGTATTATTTTTTTATTAAAAAAATGTGGTTATTAATTAGAAATAATATTGGTACCTACTTGCAGGTAGGTCTAGTTCCCCGGGTTAGCAAACAGCGAGTTTGTACTTGCGTAGGAAATTGTGTTGTCTCATATGTCATCTGCATAATATTAAATTTGCTATAAATCATAAAAATATAAGTAACAGCACGCTCGTTAATAAAGTCTATACATTATGTAAAGCCAACTCTAGATACCCCGAATAAAAGCTCAAAATGTGTTATTTGATTACTATTCTTCTTACTATACATGTCTGTGGTTGTGCTTGAAGACTTTTGACACCACACATCTCTTGGTCTTTAATTAATATCGTTATCATTTTTGAGTGAGCCAGTGCATGTGCGCACAAAACCAATTTTTTTTTTAACCCTGTGACCTAACCAAGATGGTTTTGCATACTGCGGTCAAGAGATATTTTCGGTTTAAACTGCGTGGCGAAAAATTGATTTTTGAAAATAAGGTCTTAACAAATATTTTTTCGCATAAATCAAACCATGATTACAGCACATTTTTAGATTCTGAGCGGAGCGATGAATGTATTGGTTTTACAATGATGTATGTTTTTATATTTTTATATTTTTATATTTTTATATTTTTATTTATATTTTTGTGTCTGTCATCACGTTTTAGGACAGTAAAAGTGCTTGGATTTTCTTCATCAGTAGCTTTTCTGATAGGAAAGTGAATCTAGTTGGTACTTTGGGGGGTCAAAAGTATAAATTTCCCAGTAGTTTTCACAAGCGCCGGGAAAAAACAACATAAAAATTAAGGAAAAACGGGAATTTTTACGCAAAATCGGTTTTTGACAAAATCGAATTTGGTTTTTGGTGTAACTTTTAAACAAATGAACGTAGATACATGAAATTTTCACTGGTTGTTTATATTTGCATTTTCTATACACGATAACATTTTCAAAATATTTTGATTTATTTTGAACTGTTTAGAGACATTTTCATTTTTCATTTTTTTTTAGTTTTTTTTCTAGAAATATCAATAAAATTTTATTTGTTGGTTGCGAAAGCTTGAAAATTTAATAGAAGGCTCCTAATATGTTGTTTCAAAGGCAGATGAAAAATATTAAAAATCCTTAGTCACAATTTTTTTTTATAAGCATTTAAAGTTCAAAAATTGACAAAATATGGAAAAATCACGAAAATTAGCAAATTATTTTGAGTTAAGAATTCGTAAAAATTTTTCTTTTTAAATCTAAGATTTGAAAATGAAACACAAGATTCCTTATAAGATTATATACCTTTATCAATAAAAAAATCTCTACCGGACAGTCAAATAAAATTTTTATGAGCGTTTGAAATTCAAATTTTTACAACATTGGATTTTCACTCGATTACTCATGTAGCGATTTCCTTATTTTGTTGCAATTCAAAAACGAACAACTGTAGATACATGAAAATTTCACTGAATCTTTAAATTAGCATTTTCTATACACCATACAATTTTGAAAATATTTTGACTCTTTTTGAGCTGTTTATGGACATTTACAGCTTTCAATTTTTTTTAGTTTTTTTTCTATAAATATCAATAAAGGTGTATTTGTTGGGCCAAAAAGAGTAAAAATTTAATACAAGGCTCCTGATATATTGTTACAATAGCAGTTGAAAAATATTAAAAATACATAGGCATGATTTTTTTTTATAAGCATTTAAAGTTGGAATTTTGACAAAATTTATCAAAATCTCGAAAATTATAAAATGTTCAGTTTTTGTAACTAAGAGTTGAAAATTTAAAACAAAGATTCTCTTAAATAATTCATACTGTAACCAAAAAATCTAAAAAATATATAAACACACTTATTTTTTACAGACATTTTAATTTCAAATTTAGACAAAATTTCATATTTAAACCAAGAATTACGATTTTAGTTATTTTGTTGTGATTGAATAATACTATTCGTGGGTACTTGAAACTTCTAAAGTGTACTATTATATATCTATGATAGTATCACGGTTTTTGTTGATGTATAACGCGTTATAAGTATCTAATGGATATTGTGATATGATTAATTTGGAATTTATTATAGGTACCTATTATAGGTCAATTTTTTGTTTAATACCATAGATATGTATAATGTATATAATATGTCTTATACCTAGACTGACATACTGTCTCCGCGGTATTGTCCGAGTTGCGGTCGCAATAGACGAATTGCGGTCTTAATAATATTGAAGGTAAAATTTAACGTCTTAATTGCGGTCAGTATCCGGTTATCGATTATCCGATAAGCTCTAATCCAATTTTCAAATTTTCATAATTTTCAATTATTTAACGATCTAACGGTGAAGCAGTATTTATATTTTATGCGATTTTCACGTATTATTACACCAATTATTATGATACCAGACAGCTTTATCGACAATGTTATCGTACGTCAACGTAAGTCAACGTTATATAGTTTAGTCTATTGGAAGACGTTTTTGTATCAACACGTTAAAATGTCACAAATATCTGTTATGTATAGTGAAAAAGGGAAAATTTTGCTTGTATTAAATAATTTTAAATTTAGAGAGTACCGTCTTCTTAAGACGGGAGAAATGTCTTGGAGTTGCACTAATAAAAATTGCAATGCAAAACTCTACACTATCGGAGAAGAACACGTATTTTCAAGAACGCAAAATGACCATAAAAATCATCAAGCCGATACTGTTCAAATATTAAACAGACAGAAGATAAACAACTCGGTAAAAAGGAAGGCTGATGAATTATCATTTTCGGAAAGACTAAGGAAAATAATTCGTCAAGAGGTGGAGAAAGATGTCAATATTTTGAATACATTCACAGACAGAGACATGATTCGCATAGGTAAATAAATTAAATTAATAATATAGGTGAAATATCTATGATTTTAAAATTTAATACAAAATTTCTCATAAATTATAGTTGTTATTCTTAATTAATCTTTATCGTTCTTAATATTTAAATTTTAAATCAAAATTATAATTTATATAAAAATTAGAAAATTCAAAATTTATGATTTCAAATTAACATGTTTTTAAATTTTAAAAGTGCATTGGTAAAGACTAAAATGTAAAGACAGAAGGCTTAAAGATTAAAGTGACTATTTTTCAGTGACTATTTAGTCGATAATTATATTGGCGATGATGCTACTTTTCCAACTACACTCTGGGAAGCTTTGAACAATGATGTTTGGAGATCGAATAATGGAAGTGAAGCGTTCAATTCTAAATTCAAAACTGAGAACCGATTGCCACATCCCAACATATTTGAATTTTTGAAATGTGTCAAAAATATACAGATTGATACATATTCAAAAATCAATTCAGTAGATTTTGAAACTAATAAAAAAAGTGAAAGAATAAATCAGAAATTTATTAAAAATAAAATACAACAGTATTTGAAAAAACCAATTGACTCGCTGACATTTGTGAAATGTGTATCATACAAATATGAACCGGTATAATATTATAAATGTATTAATTTTTTTCATTGAATGTGTGTTTTGTATTTT